GGAAAATTATATTTTCCTATAGGAAAAGTTGAAGCATTTATGGTAATACTTTGACTTTCCTTCAAGAGAAAAATAAATTTCAAATAAGGTAAGAAAATCAGGGCAAAACCCTAACAACCCCCCCCCCCCCCCCCCTTCAAACCCACTATAAAAATCCCAAATCTCCTTCTTCCATCATTTCATAGCCAAGCCCCATTCTCATCCACACATACCCCTCTCAAACCCACCATAAGAAAACCCTAATTTTCCTTCTTCCATTTGTACACACTCATCAAGATTCAACACACAAATGACTTCATCAAAATTTGAACCAAATGATGACATACTTGATTTTGTAATCAAGAAAGCAAATGGAATAAAAGGCCTAGTAGACAGAAGCCTTGAAATTATCCCAAATCAATGTATTCAACCAAAAGAACACAGACTAGACAAATCCCAAATTGACAATCAAGAATCAATCCCAACAATTGATTTATCAAATTTTGATGATTTCAATGTTGAAAAATCAATTCAAGAAGCAGCAAGCAAGTGGGGATTCTTCCAAATCATCAATCATGGGATCCCAATTGAAGTTCTTGAAGATTTGAAAGATGCAGCACACAAGTTTTTCGAATTGCCAGCTGAAGAAAAAGTAAAGTATTATAAAGAGAGTTATAGTGCTGGTGAATCTGTGTTGATGTTTTGGAGTGCTATTGGTAATAAAAATGAGAAAGTTTTGGAGTGGAGGGATAGTATAAAACATGGTTGTAATCCAGAAAATGATAGCAGTCTTTGGCCTTCTCAAACAAGGTAACTTTTTGGGTTTTCTGTTCTGTGTAATTTGTAGGTCACGTGTTTTTGAGTAAGTAACAAAAACATACCTGTAGTATTAGTTTTTTCATGAGTTTCATATCTTTAACTGTAAGGTGTTTGTGTTTTCTATCTAAACTCTTGTTAGCTATTTATTAAAACAAACCTAAAAACTTACTAGACCAAGTGTCTCAATACAATCACAAAAGGTTGTGTCACTAGTTAATTAGGCATAAAATTTCGTCCCAATGACAACTGACTCATTAATTTTGAGATGTGTTTTGATAATTAGTTGATGATAGTTCAGATAGGAGGCTTGCAAAAGTATGTTACTTCAGGCCTGTTTTTGACCATTATCTCTAAATTTCATAAAGGTGTATTTAACTTAAATCTGAATTATACTATCTAACTAGGAATTTCTTTTAGTCCCTTTTACAATAATATATTTAGTATAATTCGACAAATAAGAATATGATGTGCGCAAATCTTATTTCTACCTTTGTGGGGTAAAAATGTTGTTTCTGATGGACTTTCTGAACACTCGTAGTGAATTTTTTTAAATTGACGTTAAATTAACTTGCCATTAAATTTTATACGCTCTTAATGAAATTCCTGACTTTGTCACTGGTTTATAGGAACCAAGTCTTGGAGTATCAAAAGTGGGCTAAACCACTTGCTAAAAAGTTGTTAGAGGTGCTATTGAAGGGTCTCAATGTCAATGAATTTGATGAATCTTTAGGACCTCTCTTGATGGGAACTATGGCTATCAACATAAACTATTATCCACCATGCCCAAATCCAAGTATCACCATTGGGGCTCGCCGACACTGCGACGTCTCCTGCATCACTCTGCTCTTCCAGGACGACACGGGAGGCCTATATGTTCGAGGGACTAAAGGCGATAATTGGATCCACGTAAATCCAATCAAAGGCGCCTTAGCGGTTAACATAGGTGACTCGTTGCAGATCATGAGCAATGATCGATACAAGAGTATCGAGCATTGTGTAGCAGTTGATTCGAGCAGGGCTCGAATATCCATACCGCTATTTGTGAATCCTTGCTTTGACAGTGTCATTGGTCCATTTTCACAAATGTTGAAAGATGGAGAAAAACCAGTGTACAAACATGTCTTGTTTTCTGATTATTGGGATTATTTCTTTCGTAAGAGGCCTTCTGGTAAAGCATCACTAGATTTTGCTAAAATTTGATAGTTTAATCTACAAATTTCTTGTTAAGTGAATGTATTGTCAAATTTGTTATCATGTGATGACAAAAACTCTCTTTACATAACCAATGAGTTGGTATGATTGTGTCGTTAGCTTGATTTGTTCTAATCATTCAATAATCTTATTTTACCCTTTATCCAACTTTTTGTTTATAATAACTTTACCCCATTTTTTTTCTTTGTAATATTGTAAGTTTTATCTTCCAATCGTTGGTGTGTAGCACTGTGATAATTTTAAACTTGAACTCAATAATTTGAAAAATGTTCTTTTTTTAAAGCAGATATCAAATATAGAATAAGAAAAAACATGTACTCATGATGGGTAGTAAATATATTTGCCATCAATTAAAGATCTTATGTTTAGAAATGAATTTGCATTCAGTTTAATATCGGATATTGAATACAAAAAATATGAGACAAAACACCTACTTAAATGACGCTTATCATTTTCTAAGATCGTGACCGGTAGTAACTATCTCCATCATCAACTAAAGATTTTTATTATAAATTTACTTTCACTCCTAAGACTAGTATCAAATATAGGGCTGGTTCCCCGCACTAGCAGTGCGCTAGTGTCATCTTCCCCACCCTTTTTCCGTCGTTTGCTCCATCAAAGTCCTTTTAAAGTGTACCTTTACTTCTTATTGATTCTAACTACTCTAAACTACATCTAAATATAGAGAAACTATTCATAACATGAATCATAACCCTTGAATTCAAGGTAGAGTTAAGAGTAAAGTCTTAAGAGTTCTTTCGAGTCATTTTGAGAAATCTTTTACAATCTTTTTAAAACTTGTTTTAAGACTTTAGTACTTGAGTTTGAGAATAAGGAGAGTTGATTTGAATTTTTCAAAATGAATATATGAGAACAAAGTATTCCCAAGAATAAATGTTTTTACATTAAAAATGACCGATATCTAAAGGAGTTCATGAGGAGTTTTGAGTACTATCTCTTTTAAGAGAAATATTTTGAGTAATAATCTGAAAGTTGAGGATGATGAAATGTTTTTAAAAATATGAGCTAAGTTATATTTTGGAAGTAATATTGAGTACTGATATGGGGACGAGTTTAGATAACTCAAAGTCCTCATAAACCATATAGCCAACGTGGGTAGAAAGGGTCATACTTTTTAGATGATTCCTTATTACTTTTTAAGCATAGCTTAGTGGATCCACTTAGTTGAGAAGTTCTATACCCCGGTAAGGTATATGACAGTTCTGGAAGCGTAGGGGAGACATTGTATCACCACATAGCTCATAGTAATGGTTGTCAGTTAGAGAATCTCCCAAACAGAGTTATTTTGTATCTTTACATACTACCTGAGTTATTATTGTATTTTTAAATACATTGAGTTGTTATCTACTGTTTTAAATGCTTTATATAAACTGTAGTTTTATCACCGTTTTATATTGCATTGAGTTGAGTGTCCATGAGTTGAGGTTGAATTGAGTAGAGTCAAGTTGAGTATGTTTCCTTTTAAGCAGTTCAAGCTTGCACGTTATGTTCAGTGTTCCCCTTCCATGCTTGTACATTCCATGTACTGACGCCATTTGGCCGGCATCTTTCATGATGCAGATACTGAAAACCAGGATCATCAACCAGCGCTTCGTTGATCTAGTCGAGTTCCAGATTTGTTTGGTGAGCCTCCTTGATTCCGGAGGATCTCTCATTTAATTATGTTATTTCAATTTGTTGGCATGATCGGGGGTCTTGTACCGGCATCCCTCATAGTATTAGAGGCTTCATAGATAGATAGACAATAGTAGTTCATAAGTCTTGTTCATTTCAGTTGTTATATTCTAGACGTGACTGCCTCTTTTGGCCAGTGAATGTTTTATTTCTAAAATATTTTGAGTTTATCTTTTGAGACATTGAGTTAAAATTTACATTTGAGTTCATTTTATGTTGAGTGAGTCTTCCGCTGAGAGTTGAGCCAGGTCAAGGGTTCGCTTGGGACCAATAATGGTTCTCGAGTGCCGACCATATACAAAGTGAAGTCTAGGGGAGTGACAGTAGTACTACTTTTACTGATAGTTTTTTATCGATATAATAGAGTACACAAGTTTCAAAAAAATATTATTCAAACAAACCACAATTCATGTATATGACACCAAGAAACCACCTCACCAATTTACAAATAGCTATTTCTAGAAGATATATTTTATGATGATGATGTTTGATTAAACTTAAAAGAAATTTTTTTTTGAAAGTGAATCTAACTAAATTTGAATTCGTGCTAGAAAATCATACATTGAGAGTAAATCACTCCCTAACAAAGGTGACTCTGTATTCATAAAAACTCGAATCTAAAACGTCTGATTAAAATTTGAAAAAGTACATGCTACCCCACCATTCAAAACCGACCCTGATTCTCCCCCCTCCCCGTTATTGGGTTCGAAAGTGATTGGGGCGTTATGCGGAAGCTTACAATTGCAAATCATATAGTCGATAAATCAGATGAAAAACAAAAGCATACTAAAAATATATTATTGATATGATTTGGCCAAACGGTCTACATATTATAAAACTAATATTGAAAAAGCATAAACGTATTGGGAGAAAATCTCCCCATAAGCTAAACTCTTAAATATCTACATTGTGAATGTTCTTGTGTTCTTGGTATGAGAAAACGTGTATTCAATTTATAGGATCCCAGACTATTCCTCTAAAGAAAATAATAAACCAAATATGGAGGAAAATTATATTTTCCTATAGGAAAAGTTGAAGCATTTATGGTAATACTTTGACTTTCCTTCAAGAGAAAAATAAATTTCAAATAAGGTAAGAAAATCAGGGCAAAACCCTAACAACCCCCCCCCCCCCCCCCCCCTTCAAACCCACTATAAAAATCCCAAATCTCCTTCTTCCATCATTTCATAGCCAAGCCCCATTCTCATCCACACATACCCCTCTCAAACCCACCATAAGAAAACCCTAATTTTCCTTCTTCCATTTGTACACACTCATCAAGATTCAACACACAAATGACTTCATCAAAATTTGAACCAAATGATGACATACTTGATTTTGTAATCAAGAAAGCAAATGGAATAAAAGGCCTAGTAGACAGAAGCCTTGAAATTATCCCAAATCAATGTATTCAACCAAAAGAACACAGACTAGACAAATCCCAAATTGACAATCAAGAATCAATCCCAACAATTGATTTATCAAATTTTGATGATTTCAATGTTGAAAAATCAATTCAAGAAGCAGCAAGCAAGTGGGGATTCTTCCAAATCATCAATCATGGGATCCCAATTGAAGTTCTTGAAGATTTGAAAGATGCAGCACACAAGTTTTTCGAATTGCCAGCTGAAGAAAAAGTAAAGTATTATAAAGAGAGTTATAGTGCTGGTGAATCTGTGTTGATGTTTTGGAGTGCTATTGGTAATAAAAATGAGAAAGTTTTGGAGTGGAGGGATAGTATAAAACATGGTTGTAATCCAGAAAATGATAGCAGTCTTTGGCCTTCTCAAACAAGGTAACTTTTTGGGTTTTCTGTTCTGTGTAATTTGTAGGTCACGTGTTTTTGAGTAAGTAACAAAAACATACCTGTAGTATTAGTTTTTTCATGAGTTTCATATCTTTAACTGTAAGGTGTTTGTGTTTTCTATCTAAACTCTTGTTAGCTATTTATTAAAACAAACCTAAAAACTTACTAGACCAAGTGTCTCAATACAATCACAAAAGGTTGTGTCACTAGTTAATTAGGCATAAAATTTCGTCCCAATGACAACTGACTCATTAATTTTGAGATGTGTTTTGATAATTAGTTGATGATAGTTCAGATAGGAGGCTTGCAAAAGTATGTTACTTCAGGCCTGTTTTTGACCATTATCTCTAAATTTCATAAAGGTGTATTTAACTTAAATCTGAATTATACTATCTAACTAGGAATTTCTTTTAGTCCCTTTTACAATAATATATTTAGTATAATTCGACAAATAAGAATATGATGTGCGCAAATCTTATTTCTACCTTTGTGGGGTAAAAATGTTGTTTCTGATGGACTTTCTGAACACTCGTAGTGAATTTTTTTAAATTGACGTTAAATTAACTTGCCATTAAATTTTATACGCTCTTAATGAAATTCCTGACTTTGTCACTGGTTTATAGGAACCAAGTCTTGGAGTATCAAAAGTGGGCTAAACCACTTGCTAAAAAGTTGTTAGAGGTGCTATTGAAGGGTCTCAATGTCAATGAATTTGATGAATCTTTAGGACCTCTCTTGATGGGAACTATGGCTATCAACATAAACTATTATCCACCATGCCCAAATCCAAGTATCACCATTGGGGCTCGCCGACACTGCGACGTCTCCTGCATCACTCTGCTCTTCCAGGACGACACGGGAGGCCTATATGTTCGAGGGACTAAAGGCGATAATTGGATCCACGTAAATCCAATCAAAGGCGCCTTAGCGGTTAACATAGGTGACTCGTTGCAGATCATGAGCAATGATCGATACAAGAGTATCGAGCATTGTGTAGCAGTTGATTCGAGCAGGGCTCGAATATCCATACCGCTATTTGTGAATCCTTGCTTTGACAGTGTCATTGGTCCATTTTCACAAATGTTGAAAGATGGAGAAAAACCAGTGTACAAACATGTCTTGTTTTCTGATTATTGGGATTATTTCTTTCGTAAGAGGCCTTCTGGTAAAGCATCACTAGATTTTGCTAAAATTTGATAGTTTAATCTACAAATTTCTTGTTAAGTGAATGTATTGTCAAATTTGTTATCATGTGATGACAAAAACTCTCTTTACATAACCAATGAGTTGGTATGATTGTGTCGTTAGCTTGATTTGTTCTAATCATTCAATAATCTTATTTTACCCTTTATCCAACTTTTTGTTTATAATAACTTTACCCCATTTTTTTTCTTTGTAATATTGTAAGTTTTATCTTCCAATCGTTGGTGTGTAGCACTGTGATAATTTTAAACTTGAACTCAATAATTTGAAAAATGTTCTTTTTTTAAAGCAGATATCAAATATAGAATAAGAAAAAACATGTACTCATGATGGGTAGTAAATATATTTGCCATCAATTAAAGATCTTATGTTTAGAAATGAATTTGCATTCAGTTTAATATCGGATATTGAATACAAAAAATATGAGACAAAACACCTACTTAAATGACGCTTATCATTTTCTAAGATCGTGACCGGTAGTAACTATCTCCATCATCAACTAAAGATTTTTATTATAAATTTACTTTCACTCCTAAGACTAGTATCAAATATAGGGCTGGTTCCCCGCACTAGCAGTGCGCTAGTGTCATCTTCCCCACCCTTTTTCCGTCGTTTGCTCCATCAAAGTCCTTTTAAAGTGTACCTTTACTTCTTATTGATTCTAACTACTCTAAACTACATCTAAATATAGAGAAACTATTCATAACATGAATCATAACCCTTGAATTCAAGGTAGAGTTAAGAGTAAAGTCTTAAGAGTTCTTTCGAGTCATTTTGAGAAATCTTTTACAATCTTTTTAAAACTTGTTTTAAGACTTTAGTACTTGAGTTTGAGAATAAGGAGAGTTGATTTGAATTTTTCAAAATGAATATATGAGAACAAAGTATTCCCAAGAATAAATGTTTTTACATTAAAAATGACCGATATCTAAAGGAGTTCATGAGGAGTTTTGAGTACTATCTCTTTTAAGAGAAATATTTTGAGTAATAATCTGAAAGTTGAGGATGATGAAATGTTTTTAAAAATATGAGCTAAGTTATATTTTGGAAGTAATATTGAGTACTGATATGGGGACGAGTTTAGATAACTCAAAGTCCTCATAAACCATATAGCCAACGTGGGTAGAAAGGGTCATACTTTTTAGATGATTCCTTATTACTTTTTAAGCATAGCTTAGTGGATCCACTTAGTTGAGAAGTTCTATACCCCGGTAAGGTATATGACAGTTCTGGAAGCGTAGGGGAGACATTGTATCACCACATAGCTCATAGTAATGGTTGTCAGTTAGAGAATCTCCCAAACAGAGTTATTTTGTATCTTTACATACTACCTGAGTTATTATTGTATTTTTAAATACATTGAGTTGTTATCTACTGTTTTAAATGCTTTATATAAACTGTAGTTTTATCACCGTTTTATATTGCATTGAGTTGAGTGTCCATGAGTTGAGGTTGAATTGAGTAGAGTCAAGTTGAGTATGTTTCCTTTTAAGCAGTTCAAGCTTGCACGTTATGTTCAGTGTTCCCCTTCCATGCTTGTACATTCCATGTACTGACGCCATTTGGCCGGCATCTTTCATGATGCAGATACTGAAAACCAGGATCATCAACCAGCGCTTCGTTGATCTAGTCGAGTTCCAGATTTGTTTGGTGAGCCTCCTTGATTCCGGAGGATCTCTCATTTAATTATGTTATTTCAATTTGTTGGCATGATCGGGGGTCTTGTACCGGCATCCCTCATAGTATTAGAGGCTTCATAGATAGATAGACAATAGTAGTTCATAAGTCTTGTTCATTTCAGTTGTTATATTCTAGACGTGACTGCCTCTTTTGGCCAGTGAATGTTTTATTTCTAAAATATTTTGAGTTTATCTTTTGAGACATTGAGTTAAAATTTACATTTGAGTTCATTTTATGTTGAGTGAGTCTTCCGCTGAGAGTTGAGCCAGGTCAAGGGTTCGCTTGGGACCAATAATGGTTCTCGAGTGCCGACCATATACAAAGTGAAGTCTAGGGGAGTGACAGTAGTACTACTTTTACTGATAGTTTTTTATCGATATAATAGAGTACACAAGTTTCAAAAAAATATTATTCAAACAAACCACAATTCATGTATATGACACCAAGAAACCACCTCACCAATTTACAAATAGCTATTTCTAGAAGATATATTTTATGATGATGATGTTTGATTAAACTTAAAAGAAATTTTTTTTTGAAAGTGAATCTAACTAAATTTGAATTCGTGCTAGAAAATCATACATTGAGAGTAAATCACTCCCTAACAAAGGTGACTCTGTATTCATAAAAACTCGAATCTAAAACGTCTGATTAAAATTTGAAAAAGTACATGCTACCCCACCATTCAAAACCGACCCTGATTCTCCCCCCTCCCCGTTATTGGGTTCGAAAGTGATTGGGGCGTTATGCGGAAGCTTACAATTGCAAATCATATAGTCGATAAATCAGATGAAAAACAAAAGCATACTAAAAATATATTATTGATATGATTTGGCCAAACGGTCTACATATTATAAAACTAATATTGAAAAAGCATAAACGTATTGGGAGAAAATCTCCCCATAAGCTAAACTCTTAAATATCTACATTGTGAATGTTCTTGTGTTCTTGGTATGAGAAAACGTGTATTCAATTTATAGGATCCCAGACTATTCCTCTAAAGAAAATAATAAACCAAATATGGAGGAAAATTATATTTTCCTATAGGAAAAGTTGAAGCATTTATGGTAATACTTTGACTTTCCTTCAAGAGAAAAATAAATTTCAAATAAGGTAAGAAAATCAGGGCAAAACCCTAACAACCCCCCCCCCCCCCCCCCTTCAAACCCACTATAAAAATCCCAAATCTCCTTCTTCCATCATTTCATAGCCAAGCCCCATTCTCATCCACACATACCCCTCTCAAACCCACCATAAGAAAACCCTAATTTTCCTTCTTCCATTTGTACACACTCATCAAGATTCAACACACAAATGACTTCATCAAAATTTGAACCAAATGATGACATACTTGATTTTGTAATCAAGAAAGCAAATGGAATAAAAGGCCTAGTAGACAGAAGCCTTGAAATTATCCCAAATCAATGTATTCAACCAAAAGAACACAGACTAGACAAATCCCAAATTGACAATCAAGAATCAATCCCAACAATTGATTTATCAAATTTTGATGATTTCAATGTTGAAAAATCAATTCAAGAAGCAGCAAGCAAGTGGGGATTCTTCCAAATCATCAATCATGGGATCCCAATTGAAGTTCTTGAAGATTTGAAAGATGCAGCACACAAGTTTTTCGAATTGCCAGCTGAAGAAAAAGTAAAGTATTATAAAGAGAGTTATAGTGCTGGTGAATCTGTGTTGATGTTTTGGAGTGCTATTGGTAATAAAAATGAGAAAGTTTTGGAGTGGAGGGATAGTATAAAACATGGTTGTAATCCAGAAAATGATAGCAGTCTTTGGCCTTCTCAAACAAGGTAACTTTTTGGGTTTTCTGTTCTGTGTAATTTGTAGGTCACGTGTTTTTGAGTAAGTAACAAAAACATACCTGTAGTATTAGTTTTTTCATGAGTTTCATATCTTTAACTGTAAGGTGTTTGTGTTTTCTATCTAAACTCTTGTTAGCTATTTATTAAAACAAACCTAAAAACTTACTAGACCAAGTGTCTCAATACAATCACAAAAGGTTGTGTCACTAGTTAATTAGGCATAAAATTTCGTCCCAATGACAACTGACTCATTAATTTTGAGATGTGTTTTGATAATTAGTTGATGATAGTTCAGATAGGAGGCTTGCAAAAGTATGTTACTTCAGGCCTGTTTTTGACCATTATCTCTAAATTTCATAAAGGTGTATTTAACTTAAATCTGAATTATACTATCTAACTAGGAATTTCTTTTAGTCCCTTTTACAATAATATATTTAGTATAATTCGACAAATAAGAATATGATGTGCGCAAATCTTATTTCTACCTTTGTGGGGTAAAAATGTTGTTTCTGATGGACTTTCTGAACACTCGTAGTGAATTTTTTTAAATTGACGTTAAATTAACTTGCCATTAAATTTTATACGCTCTTAATGAAATTCCTGACTTTGTCACTGGTTTATAGGAACCAAGTCTTGGAGTATCAAAAGTGGGCTAAACCACTTGCTAAAAAGTTGTTAGAGGTGCTATTGAAGGGTCTCAATGTCAATGAATTTGATGAATCTTTAGGACCTCTCTTGATGGGAACTATGGCTATCAACATAAACTATTATCCACCATGCCCAAATCCAAGTATCACCATTGGGGCTCGCCGACACTGCGACGTCTCCTGCATCACTCTGCTCTTCCAGGACGACACGGGAGGCCTATATGTTCGAGGGACTAAAGGCGATAATTGGATCCACGTAAATCCAATCAAAGGCGCCTTAGCGGTTAACATAGGTGACTCGTTGCAGATCATGAGCAATGATCGATACAAGAGTATCGAGCATTGTGTAGCAGTTGATTCGAGCAGGGCTCGAATATCCATACCGCTATTTGTGAATCCTTGCTTTGACAGTGTCATTGGTCCATTTTCACAAATGTTGAAAGATGGAGAAAAACCAGTGTACAAACATGTCTTGTTTTCTGATTATTGGGATTATTTCTTTCGTAAGAGGCCTTCTGGTAAAGCATCACTAGATTTTGCTAAAATTTGATAGTTTAATCTACAAATTTCTTGTTAAGTGAATGTATTGTCAAATTTGTTATCATGTGATGACAAAAACTCTCTTTACATAACCAATGAGTTGGTATGATTGTGTCGTTAGCTTGATTTGTTCTAATCATTCAATAATCTTATTTTACCCTTTATCCAACTTTTTGTTTATAATAACTTTACCCCATTTTTTTTCTTTGTAATATTGTAAGTTTTATCTTCCAATCGTTGGTGTGTAGCACTGTGATAATTTTAAACTTGAACTCAATAATTTGAAAAATGTTCTTTTTTTAAA